GGCCCCGGGCCCGCCCGGGGCTCCGGGGGCGATGCTGCCGGCAGCCGCGGCTCAGGGCTGCGCCGGTCCAGCGCTCTCAGACGGAGCAGGTAGCCCGGGGGCGAGACATCCAAACCAGAGGTGGTGCAAATGACGTCGGGGAGAACCCACACCTAAGGGCAGGGAAACCTACAGGTAAAGGAATGATGGCACAACGGAGATGCGGTGACCTGGAATGTCCTGCCTGGATAAATAAACGTGGAAGGACTTTGCCCCTATGGACTTCCTCACGGAGAGACTTCCAGCCTTTTCCCAGAAGCCTGTTCCCTAACGCTGAGGATAAGGAGGCTATTTTTAATTTTACCGAGGGGAAAGGGCAGAGCAGAGCGATGAAGCACGGTCAATGGCAGTTTCCCGGCCGGGCAGGAGGACGGGACCCCCTGACTGCCCATCACAGCCCTTCCACCGTCTGCTTCAGCGCCAACACCTCCGCACCGAGCGCCTGCAACGCCCCCGAGCGAGAGACCACCCGAACCACACACCCCGCTCACACCTCCGCCCCGGGTTCAACCCGAGCACCTGAAGGGACGGCGGCTCAGCCAGCGCTCCGAGCGGGGTACGCCCGTGCCACGCGTGGGGTGAGGACCTCCAACAGCTGCTGCCCGTGGACCTCGTTCAGAGGAAGGCCACCCGGGGCCGTCCATGGAACGCGATCCTCTCTCTGCTTGGGCTACAGAATGCTTCTGAGCTCGGGGCGGCTGCCAGAGGGTCCCTCGCAGCACTCCAGTTAGACCAGAGAGGGTCCCTGCTTCTGTGCCCCCCCAGTCCCTTGCCCAACACCAGCGTGGTCAATGAGGAGAGCTCAGGGGTTTAGGGATGTGGACGATAACCAGTTCCTTGGATCCTATCGCACACAGGTCTCCAAAGAGCCGTCGCCGCTGGCTGTTCCTACGGAAAGGGACCGAGGTAAAGCCAGCGACCCAGCAACGAGAAGCTCCAGCTCCCTCCCCTTCTCATTATTCAGACATTCCTTACCCAAAACACACATATGCTTCATCCCCTACCAAAACAGAGGTAGAGAGTCACTCGGAAACACAAAATTCCTAAATCCTGCTTTTTGCCACCTCTTAAAAACTGCAGAATTCAAACTCTCCCACAGCACCAACCACTGTCTCACAGCATCTGCCCATTGTGTTTCCTTTGCAATTCGCTTGTGAAGACCCCAAATAAGTCAAGGCTTCAAATAAGGTCAGCGTTTGTTTGATTAGTTGTGTTACCTTTGTCCTCACAGGTGCAGCACCCAAGGGAAGGACTGACTTATTTAGCGGTAACCGCGTGCCCAGGAACTCTCGTTTGCTTAGCTACAGTTAACCAACAGCACCTCCGCGGTTTATGCGCCCACTGAGTTCGCAGAAATGGGAATGGACCACGGAGCACTCCTTAGAGGGTCCAGTGGCACGGGAGAGCGGGCGAAGAAACAAACACGGGGATAAATAATGAAACAAAGGCCCGAAAGGAAAGGGCACAAGGAATCTGGGAGAAAGAGCACCCCAGCAAGCATCAGCTCTGAGACACAGCAGGCAAGAGGGAGCTAGAAAAGAAACAGCAATGTACCCAAAGCTCTCAGTGCGACAGCGAACTCCAGAGGTGACATCAGGAGGGGGCAGATCAGGGGTGGAGTCCATCTGAAGGAAATAAGAGGAGGTGGTGTGATGGTAATAGATAGGGTGGACATGGCAAGCAGGAGCAGATGCAGTGGTGGTGGATGAGGAGCAAGAGGTGGAAGAGGTGGCGGTGGCAGCAGATGACGGGCTGGTGCCGGGAAGGTCAGAACTGAAAGACTGTCCAGAGGAGAGGCTGTGCATTCGACGGAGAGAGACTCGGCCTGCCCGGTAATGGGCAGGTTGGCCCGACTCATTCTGGCCTTGCACGTAACTCTCTACCAACCTCTGAGATCCGTGGGCGTGCTGAGGGTCCACCAGGCGCTGGCGAACTGTGCTGGGCAAGGCAGGAGCTGTAAGGAGAGAAAGGGGAGAACTCTGAAGGCCTTTGGAAAGAGCCCTCGCGCCCAACCAGGGAGGATGCCCCGCCATAAAGCTGCCACCCGCGGCCGGGGCTACGCGCCGCGGCACCATGTCCTGTCACCGGGACACCTGCTCGCGCCGCGGCAGCCGCCGCACCTTGCGCTCTCCGTTACGCGGGTTTATGCAGAAGAAGCATTAAGCTGGCGCTACTGCCGAACATGCTGAATTAATGCCCAGCCCATGAAAAATTACGTTTGACATTCCTGATATCGGTGCTTTCTGAACACCTTATCTGATCATCTTGCTTGAAACTGGCTGCGCGGCTCATCCCACCCAACGTCACATCAGCGCTACCACCCAGACGCCCCTTATAGCAAACGTCGGTACTTTCAGGGCATGATTCGTTTCATCCTAATGCAGACACCCAAATCGTTCAGACACTTCATGCCACGGCAGCTCTTTTTCCCCAAACAGCCTGGAAAAGGAGCCTCCGGTGATCGGGGCGGATGCAGGCGCCGAAAGCCGGCGAGGTGAGCTCCCCTCCCAGAGCTCGGCTCTGGTCCCGCTTCCAGCATCGTCGTGCCAGCGCGGCTCCCGGAGCAGGCACGGGGATGCGGGACCGAGAGCGGGGTTGTGAAGGTTCAGGCACGGGAAAGCCGCCGGCCCTGTACCCTTCTGCAGGACAGCAGGGCCGGGACGCGCGGCAGATGTGCAGTAACTGTGACATGAATGGGGTTGGCAGATGCTTTCGTCATCAGTCCGCGCCTGAAACCACAGCTCTGGTCCACAAGCGGTACCCTCGGTTCCCAGGCTGTTCGATAATTAGCTGACTGACCAGAGAGACCCTCAATTTGAAAAATATTTTTCTCTTAGTTGCAAATTCATCTTGGTTGGGAGAAACGAATTGGACGGCCCCCTTCAGTGCACCGTCACCAGCTAATTAATAGCTTTTGAAGATCATAATGCTTTTTCTGGGCGCAGTCACACCTGGCAGGTAACAGAGGCCGGAGAGCCGAGCCCGCTCCCTCTGCACCAAGCCCACGCGATCCCTGCCCCGCGCAGAGGCGGAGGGAGCTCAGAGATTCCTGCACACCCCTCTCCCTCCGGCAGAGCATCACACGTGGAAAACCCCAGCGGACAACCAGACTGGCTGCCTTTAACCCACCAGCTGTGATTTCCATACAAGGCGTTCCTTCCTTTGCGGGAGATAAGGTGTTCAGGATTGCTCAGCATTTCTTATATGCATAAGAAATAAATGTAAAAATGGGTTAAAAAGGTGAACAGAGAGGAAAGCTGAGAAATGGAGTAAAAGGAAAGCTCCTTCGGGAATCGAAGAACCAGCAGATCACTGCTATAAAAACAGAGAGCTGGGGAACACGAGTCTCCTGCAGCTCCTCTGCCAGCACCAGCTCAGGTACCGGGGGATCGCTGCCGGGATGTTCTTCACGCGGCAGAAGGAGCGAGGCAGAGTGACTCCGGCAGCTTTGCCGTTTCCACGTCCCCGCGCTCAATCACCGTTTCTCTCTCAGGGTCCCACCGCTCAGGTTTGCTACTGCACTGCCCGTCCGCCAACCTTTCGCTGCGGTTCTTTATACCATCCACCTCCTATTTCAAGATTTATTTTTTTTTTTTTCCTCTTAACAGCTCCAGAGCTGGAACGAAGTGAAATCGAGTCACGCAGAGCCAAGGTGGAAAAAATCCCTTTCTCTGGTGAGGACTGCAAAAACCCGACGGGAGGAGGGGAGGGGGAGAGCGTTAACGGGCAGAGCTGGCGGCTGCCCTGGCGGCACCGCTGCTAACGAAGGCAGCACGGGCAGGAGCAGCACAGCGGAGCCCCGCGTGACTGCTGCTGGCGGGGAGACAGTTTAGGAGTCCCAGTTTGGAGGGCTAACAGGGATGCAGGCTCCGCAGAACAATTAACTGGGGGATTACGGGGTTCTGCCGCAGGTTTCTTTTTCTCTTGTTTTTTTCCCTAAGGGGTTTGTTGCTTTTTTTTCCCTCTGGCGTTCCACTCCCCGTTCACCGACTTGACACCACACGCCTTTGCACCCTCCGTCTGCGCGATCTACGCTGCGGTCAGCACGGGACCGACGGCGAGGACGTCGCCTCGCGCAGCCACCGCCGGCCCTCGCTTCCCGCGAACGCCCTCCTGCTCCAGACACTCCGCACATTTCATCGACGTTCGCTAAATGACCTGCTCCATCGTCTGGAGGATGACCGCCACAAGCCCGTCCTCCTCCGACCCGCGACGGCCGGCGTTCGGCAGCGCTGCGCGGGGGGAAGGGTT